CCTGGCGGGCGGTAGGCTGGAGGGGCTTGGGGGAGAAGTGGTCAGGAAGGAGGAAGGGGAGATGAGGGTTCAAGAGAGTTGACTGTGACCAGAAAGGAGACAAAAAACAAAAGCGGGGATCAAAGAAGGAAAAAACAAGATGAGCAGAAAAAAATGGGCTGGTATGTATAAGATAGGGGTGGGGGGAGCTTCCTTTTTTTTATTTCTGAGAAATATTTCACTTGAGTATTTGGCTCCCCTCTTTCCCGTCCACTGTGGTACTTGACGCTTTTGGAGGAGATAAGGGGTGGCAGATAATGACCAGGTGTTCTCCGTATTTTTTTTTAATTTTAGGATTTTAGGGATCTGTCAGTATTTGGGGGTGGAAGGTGCGTGGGGGGGGGCCGTTGTTACAGTCCTAAATGGTGCAGTTTTCTGTGGCTTCTTTTCTCTGATCTCGGTGAAATGCCCGAGTTGTAGGGGGAAGAACATATCAACATACAACCACTGAGTTATCTGGCTTTTCGGTCTGTGAACCTTCTCACAATTCAGTAATTACTTGAAGACCTTCTGTAGAAATATTTCAGCATGTGAAATATATATGACCTTTCGAGATACAGCTGGAATGCTGTGTTGTAAGTTGTTGTGTTATGGAAGATCTTTATACATTTTTAATAGGGGCTCCGTGCTTCTCAGAAGTTTCCAGGCAACTTGAATGCTGCAGCAAATTTAGAACTTACTGATAATTTAAAAATGCACATAGAATATAATCAGGATATATATTTTCAGTATTTATTAAAACAGTGAAGGTGCAATTAACTTGTGCCCTTAATTCCTTTTCTCTCTATCTTCTTTTATTCTTTTCTCCAAAATCGAGTAAAAGTGACTATGTGATGCTTGCTGTTCGTGTCAGAAGTTTGAGAAAAGCGCCCCCCCAGGTTAACATAGTTAGCATTCTGTAATGGGCCAATCGTGAAAGCAGATGTTATTGTTGAGATCGCTTTGATAACGTTCAGCCTTTTATCACAGGGTCACTCAGGTCCAGGGGCTCTGCAGAAGTAACCTGGATGAGCATAGTTATCATTGCATCTTTTTTCTTTCTTTTTTTTTTTTTAAAAAAAAAAAAAAGAGGAAAGCACTCTTCCTGATAGCTACATAGAAACCAAAGAGACTGTAGTTTTCTTTCAAGTAGAGGAAGAAGAACTGGTGGAAAACGTGTTTATCTCCTTAGGTACTGTTAGATTTCGGCGTGCAAGAGAAAGAAGTGTGGGAAAGGAAATGCAACCCATTTATTCTATATAGTTATTATGTCTAGATTTCTTTTATAGAAGTTGAGACAGTGCATATCTCTGCAGGATATTTATTTAAAGATAGTTTGAGAAGTAAACACATTATTTGCAACTGGGCAAAGAGGTTTCTAATATGCCATAATAGGCAGTTTTTGTTTTGATCAGTCCTGATTGTAAGCTTTTATAGATTCAGGAAGTACTGATGTTTGCTTTTAATGTACATTTTTCTCAAGATCATTTGTCTCTTTGTAAGCTTCTGAAATTCAGTTTAATGGAAATCAGCTGCTTCTCCCCTTCCTGTTTTCTTCTCCTTATTAAATATTTAGAAATCTGCTTTCTTTAAAATGCTTTCTAGCAATGGATTGTCTATTTCTGGAACATTAGGGTGGAGGAGGGAGCTGCTCTGTCGTGTACTCCTGGGAGACTCCTACTCCTGAAGGTGTCAATAGTGTCATCGCTATGCAAGACATATCAAGATATCGTCTCAGAACTTGTCTCTACGCAGTGCATGCAGATTTTGGAATTTGAAGGGAAAAATTGCACCCGGCTTTCTTTTGTATAGAAATAATAATCTCTAAGATACTTTGGAACTTTTCTTGGGTTTTAAAACATGTAGTATGATTATTTACTTTTCTTTCATTTTGGGAAAGAGATTGAAGAGACTTGTAAGAACAGGAACTGGAACCATAGGAATTTTGTTCTTTTAAAATACTGAGATTATATATATCGTTAATGTCTTTTTTTTTTTTTTTTTTTTTTTTTTTTTTTTTTTTTTTTTTTTTTTTTTTTTTTCCTTTTAATGTGTGATTTGTTTAGATTCCTAAGTTCCCCTCCTTCCTATGTTCTTTCTTTGATGTTGCTAGCTCTGTGACTAATTGAATGATTTAGAGTTATATGTCGAACGTAGCTGTCAGTTGGCAGATGAAAAAGACATCAGTCTCCACAGTACTTTAAAAGAGTGT